TGATAAGCTTTTACATTCAAACTTGAAACTCTCTTATCCTCGTTTCTTTGGTGATGAATGGTTTGAAAATGAAAAAGACCATCTCATGTTGGGTAGTTTATTCATCACGTGTTAAAAAAATAAAAAATAAAAAACTTAAACAAAACAAAACAAAACAAAAACAAAAAAACTAAGGTGACATGTGTTCATTACTTGTAAGGGCAACAAACCCAGGCCTGTTTCGCATGGATACAGCGCCCACTTCAAAGGTCGCATGTTAGAAAAAATATGGGCTCGATGCATAAAAATGATGGTTATGTGAACTCCAGAAATTCAGATAGAGATTGGGTGCTATTTGGGCCTCAGTGACGACAACCATATAATTGCTTTGTGGACATTTTCATTAGGAAAGTGGGTTGTGGGCTTTAATCTCGCAGGCTTTAAATTGGTATCATTATCATACGCATACCTGATGGGCCTTTGAAAAAGCCCAACGAGACCTTATCATCTACAGTCAAGTCAACGCTCAATCAAGCCAATTTTGCCGATCTCGTGTTTGAATTTTAGGTAAGAGTGAGAGTACGTATAAGGGGAGGCTTATCCACTCGTTGCGTACTCGCCCTTAGATGCACGGTAAAGAAAAGGACGAAAAATAAAACTCTTTGCTTGAGCCTTGGGTTGGGGTGATGCTATTGTCACAGCCACAACAGTTAACACCACACTTTTTTTAAGTATTTAACTATTATACCCCTCATTTGAGTCCAACAGTTAAAACTGAAATTTTCTCATTTAGGTGATTGATTTCTTGTTTACTAATTCCTCTAATGAAATTTAATAAAGAAATAAAGTAATATTTGTAGGAGAATGTAATCTTTGTTTAAAAATTCATCAAATCACAATCTAATAACAATTAAATTGCTTTTGGGCTCGTTGATGTGACTTGCTGTGTTTAAGATTGAAATTTTGGTGATTTTGATGTGATTTTTTTTTAAAAAAAACAGCAAGATTTTGATGTGATTGGGAGGATAAATGGGCACCTAACACCTGACTTTTTTTATCTAATGGTTTTGTCACCTTTTTATAAGTGCACTTCTTAACTTCTTGGACTGATTTTGATTCCCCGTACTCTCCATTTATAATTTGTTAAAAAAAATATAACAAGATACATAATTAAATTAGATTTTTAATATCAATAACATGTGTATAATTTTAATTAAATTATTGATAAAATTAAAATTAATTTTTATTTTTTTATAATAAATAACAAAAAAATATATAATTAATAAACTCTTCATTTGTATTTTAAAAATACAAATGAGAAAAACCATTCATTTTATCCTAAGGTGAAGAAGTGGACACTCCACCAAAGAAAAGGCTGCTGGTGCAAGGGATGTGAATTCGTTGATTAATTGATCATAAATTTATAATTTAAATACAAATTTTAAGTGATCAATAGGAAAGGGAGTGATGGCAAATTAGAAGGCAAGTAGTCCCCTGCTCCGTTTCAAGATTGTTCAAACCTAATAATTGAGTACCAGCCAGGAACACTTAAGACTTTGGTCCCTTAATAAATTCATATTAAATTTGTCTAGCATGTATTTTAAAAATATAAATTAAAAATATATTAATTATTGTTTTTATATTTAATTTTTATTTAA